TCAACATCAGAAATAGTATKAATAGGCAAATATGACTATCTCAACTCAATATMGTCTAATAGAAACAAATAGTATCTCTAAATATTAAACTATATTTTATTTTTGAATTTCAACTCTTATGATAATAAAACCTTTCACAACTTCATTTTCTCAGTTGCCAATTATTCAGAAACRTCCTTCTTTTTGGCAGATGAGCCAGCCATAGGGAGATAGTACCACCCATTCTAGTTCCTTCACTCCACAAGTGAGACTTCAACACCGAGGAAAGTTCGTGGCTTACCAGAGGTCCTTCTRTYGTTCACTATTTCAGCCTTATTAGGACTCTGGGRTCATGATTTCCCAGCAGCCTCAGGTTCTCTCTAAAATAAAGATGGTAATTCTTCATTTAATGGCAAATATGTTTTCTGTCTTCAGTCTGTGTGCATGTTGGGATGAAACCATATTTGGGGACAGTCAAATGGAACCCAATTCTCCACATTCTATTGTGTACTGACAGATTAGACTTGGTTTTAAATTTCTCTGCCTCAAACCAACATTAGACAATTTAAATAAATCCCAAAGTTGTTTTAACACTAGTCAGATATTAAACACAACTGTACAGAATTAGCAAGTATGAGCAAATTTCAAATGCATTTGATGGYAATTTCTTTCATCATCTAGTATTAGATGAATCTTTAAGGAAGACATTTATTCACAACTAAAAGCATAGGAGATACAAATTTCTAGAGGCACCATAGGAGAAATACTATTAAGAGAAAGATGAAAGAACAAGGACCCTTCCCTGACAACCTGTTGGGCTTCCAACAGTACACCAGGATTTCAGAAGTGTTCTGTGATCAGATACTTTGGGACGCTGGWAGGGTATATTCCAGGAAAAGCAAGAATTCTTTCAAAGAAGAGAATAAAGAGTGGTAGCAGATAATGTGTCAAGGAGAATTAAAAAAAAAAAAAGGTCAATGATTACATAGCATTTGCAAAAAAAAATTTAAAGCATCTTATTAGGAAGGACTTGACAGAGGCAATGTCTTTTTGAAACATATCCTCCATCTTAGAATAAGAGTCACCTCATGGTCACTGACTCAGCCTAACGTGAGCCTTACAATACTCCATCATTATGCAAAGAAAGGAAATTGTTATCTGGGACTGAAATCCTGAAAACACCTGGTTCAACATGAACCAGTGATTACCTCGAAGAATAGAGGTGATAACCACAAGGACCTTCCCGGACAATCTGCTAGCAATGGCCTAACCTCAAAAATCTCCCTACTCCTTTCAAGCCCCTATAACTACCCCAGGCTGTAAGCAGAAGATGGGTCTCAGTCTCCACTGGGTGCCCCTCCACAGGTTTGTCCCCAATAAACCTGTGGTACTGTTGAGCCACCTCTTCTCTCTTTATTTCCTTCAGTAGCTTCTTTYCTTACATACCTAAACACAAAATTTATATGATTCCCAAAGATGGAAGTGTTTTAAACATTACTCCTGTTTCCTAGACAGGAGAAAAAGGACTCATTCAAAATAACTATATAATGAYGTTCCTCTGATTTCTATTCCCTGRTTTTATCCTCAGAATAAACTAATTTTCCTCACCCCAAAATTGTGGTGTTATGGCAAGGCTATCATTAAGTATAATATGGGTAAATTAAAGCTGTTCAGGCATTCAAAGCATATAAATCATGCACAAACACATTSAAGAATTTAAATTACCTGTAATATGGAAGGGTAAAGAGTTTAAAGTTGAAGGACCTATATCTACTGTTAGCTGAGATTTTCAACAAGTTACTTAAATGAATTGCTGTGAACCACAAGAAAGTTCATATGATGCTTGCTGTGAAATCATGTTATGAATTTACCAACCTTGTGAGAACTGACCTGTAAGGGGAAAACAAAGAGGTATTAATATTGAAGCCAGATTTAAAGTTAGGTAGTCAGTGTAGTTAGGTAAATCGGGTCTAATACCGAGTAAAATCTAAAATGGAGGCCATGCTGAGAATGATTCCAGGAAACGCAGGACAACTCATGGAATGTTAATGAAGTCCTGAAAAGGCCCTAGGCCAAAGTCCATCCCAAAGAAGTGATAATGAAGTCCTTCCTG